TAGGAAGAAAGTAGATCCTCTGAGAAGTGTAGCTTCACTTATTCTTGGTTGTTTTTGTTCCTGCTAGATGTCTCCATCCCTGAAAGGTCCAAGCTTAAATTTGTTGAAAGGGCCCCACTTGTGCCAAAAGTAAGAAGAGAACCTAAAAATCTGAAGGACATACGAGGACCTTCAGCTGAAGCCACTGAATTCACAGAAGGCAATTTTGCAATTTTGGTGAGTGATAAAAGAAATTAACAAGGCCTGGCAGTGGTGGTGCACGCCTTTAATCCCAGCACTTGGGAGGCAGAGGCAGGTGGATCTCTGTGAGTTCAAGGCCAGCCTGGGCTACAGAGTGAGTTCCAGGAAAGGAGCAAAGCTACACAGAGAAACCCTGTCTTGAAAAACCAAAAGAGAGAGAGAGAGAGATTAACAAAGTTTTCTACTCTTTGAGTTGATTCTAGTCTCTTCCTTCACATTATCAGAACTGCCACACCTAGATGCCACAGTCCAATTACTCTTTAAATAGATGTAGGTCGTAGGATTGAAAACACAGTCGTCGTGTACTGGATACTTGAGTGTGGGTAGCACTGAATTCTGTGTACAAGCCCTGTGATACTGTCGCAGTGGATCTGATAACCTAGTGGCCACTAAGAACCCCACAGGCAGGTAGCCTATACAACAGGTGTATACTGACCAGGAAGATGATTCATATCTGGGTGAAACTATGTAGAACAAGATGATATTAGATTTTTATTTTGCTATCCCAAAAAGTGTTTAGTTTAAAATTATAAATTGTTTTCGCCAGGAACTCCACTTAACTATTTCAGATGGGTTGAAACCACAGAGAAGGTGAGGAAGGCTACTGTGAAAGCAGGGAACAAAGGTGCTGCCTCATTTGCCCAGTTAGAACGAGGTCTTTTTAAGCCTTTGGTAAAAGTGGAATATTCCTGGTTGAGGATTAAAGCAGCTGCTTCCTTACTTGTTGAGTGGTTTCCATGAAGATTAATGTCAGTAGCCACACAAACGGATGTGCACTAGCATTTCTGCTCCTTGAGGCAGCCAGAGTGGTGTCTGTGAAGTCTTTTTCCCTGGCCTGCATGAGCACTGCTGCATACCTCTCAGAAGCTGCATTCTGCATTCCTCCTGAACCCGAGCAAACGCTGACTTCTGCTCAAACTCACCAAGCCCTTTGCTGTGTCGGGGCATTGACATCAATGTTTGTCTGTCTGGGACTCTCCTCTCCTCCTTTGACTAGTTCTTAGGATTCTATCCTCAGCTTTACGTAAGAACTTATATATTTATTTTCATGTGTATCATTAAAGCCAGTTACTATAAAAGAGGAGGCATAATAGACTCCATAAAAGATTTCTAAATCCCTGTGTGTTCTAATTTTTCTGTTCATTTTTAGGCACTGGGAGGTGGGTATCTCCACTGGGGCCATTTTGAAATGATGCGTCTGACAATCAACCGCTCTATGGACGCCAAGAACATGTTTGCCATATGGCGAGTACCAGCCCCTTTCAAGCCCATCACTCGCAAAGGTGTCGGGCAGCGCATGGGGGGAGGTAAAGGTGCCATTGATCACTATGTGACACCTGTGAAGACTGGCTGCCTCATAGTCGAGATGGGCGGACGCTGTGAGTTTAAAGAGGTCCAGGGTTTCCTGAACCTAGTTGCCCACAAGTTGCCCTTTCCAGCAAAGGCTGTGAGCCGTGAGACTCTAGAAAAGATGCGCCAAGATCAAAAAGAAAGAGAGGCGAACAACCAGAACCCCTGGACCTTTGAGCGCATAGCCACAGCCAACATGCTTGGCATGCGGAAGTTCCTGAGCCCGTATGACTTGACGCAGAAAGGGCGGTACTGGGGCAAATTCTACCTGCCCAAGCGTGTGTAGTGAAAGCACGGAACCGTGCACACTAACTCTTGAGACTGCGAGTCTGCATCGTGAGGGTCCTTAGGATCTTCGGTGCTTCTTGGATCATAACTAAGCACATGAGTACGTGACTTCTGGAAAGCTGTGCTATCTGACTGTTTCTAATTAAAGTTTGAGTGTAACCTCAAGGTGCAACTTCTCACTGGTCAGTTTTAGCTGCTTCAGAGATTAAGAATGATTTGGCATGGCCAGCTGTGGTGGAGCATGTCATTGATCCCAGCACTCAGGAAGCAAAGGCAGGCAGATCTCGGTTGAGTTCAAGCCAGCCATGG